CCCCAAAACCCCAAAACCCCAAAACCCCAAAACCCCGCACAGTAAATAATATATTGAACTGTGCTAAATTGGGAATTATGGATCCTGGAATAAATGATGTTTCACTTTTTAGTATTTGAATAAAAGTGTTATAGCTTATAAGCTAGGAAATTTAAAGGAGATACTTAGTTTCCCGCACAAGTTAAAGCATCCTCTTAAAATTAAATATTATTTTCCCTTTTATGTGGCAAAAATAGTAAAAACCGTAAAATTTCTTGAATGAATTATAATATGTATTAAGTAAGAATCGACTGTCATTCTTGTTTGATTTGTTCCAGAGCATAATTCTTAAGTCTAGTTCAATCCATTAAGCTTTATGGGATGTTCTCCAAAGTAATATTTGGAGAAAGTCTGTCAGAAGGAAGGGAGAAGGGTGATATAGCCCTCAATTTTTCATTTGCACTAAAGGATTAATGGATTAATAATACCTAGAGTCATCTATGCCTGCAAACTTAGACCTCCTAGGAACAGGGCTTAATATGCTGTAGCGAGAAATCCTTCTTTGAAATTCAGGATCCTTTTTAAGATTTATTGGAAGTCTCTCTTTAACCTTTTTCTTCTCAAGTAAGTTGGTGATCACTTGATTCATAATATCTTTGTTAAATTTTTTAGGAATGGATAAGAATGCTGTTATTTCTTTCTTTTTCTTTCTTCCATTAGAAGTATCTTTAGCCACTAAAATCTTCTTTCTCAATTCTTTTTGAATCTCTTTTCTTGAGCATATTGATGATTCTGATACTTTATGGGTCGAATTTTCAGAAGGAGTAAGACGATTGGAGTCGTCAATTTCGGGAGAAGTCAAAAAATTTCTTCAATCAGGCCGAGGACTTCTAGCATTTCTGATACTATAATGCCTATGGTCTTGAATTGGACTATTAATAGTACTGAATCTCGTGTTCAAAACAAAAGCATTTGAGTTTCTACCTTTCTTAGGATTTAGAAGAGCTTTTTCTTCATTCTCAGTCCTAAAAGACAAAGGGGTTCTATTGCCTAAGGATAATACTCAGTTTCTTCTAGAATATTTCCTTTCTTTTTTATTTCCTCTTTGGCATGAGTCCATCCATTTCTTTTTGAATAATCTTAGAGTAAATACTGACTCTTGATTCTTGAATATATTTCTCAAGATTGAAGTTGAACTTTCCCTTATTTTCTCAAGTTAAACTATGCAAGTTTAGAACTAATTTGAGCTTATAAGTACTTTCAAGAAATTTACCTCCTTTCACTTCTTATCTTTACGTTCCTCAATTGGTGATAATTGCGCCTGAACGCTTTCTCTCGGGACTGGACCCTCCCTAAATTCATAAACATCAGAATCCCCCAAATCTTGAAAAATAGACTTCTTAAGTTACTACAGTTTTGATTTAATGCTATCCAAAATGTGCAAGAGTGGTCTAAGTTAATAAATTCTACATTTTAAATTCTTGACTGGAAATAGGGTTTATACAGGTGCCACTATTAGTTTTAATAAAATAATAGTTCTAATTAGTGATGACACTTGATGGTTGATAGAGACCATGCTGTGACAAGTTTGGTTAGCGTCTAGTTTTAATATGAGTTAAAAGAACTCTGAGAAAAATGTTGGCCTTGTTAGTATTTTAAAAATGACAATTTTTAAACTGTCGAAGTATCCAAATTATTTAGAGGCTATCTCTAATGCTAAATGGCAGTCTTAAGAGCGAAGTATATCTGAGCAGCTTCTACTTTGCTATTTAGCTAGAATTAGTCTTTTTAAAGATTAACAGATTCTAATTAGCAAGAGCATATTTTCTTGGTGAAGCTAATATTCAACCATTCTAATTACTAGCACTTACATTTCAGGCATCCTTATGTTGATCTTCATTGGAGAAATAAGACTAGGTTTTTTGGTGTTCCTCTTTCTCCCTAATATTCTCTTTCTATATAAATATAAGCTTTATGAATAATTTAAGAAGGGTTGTACTCTAAATTTGGAATTCTTTCAGAAACAAGTTATGAAAGTAATTTGTATCATTGCTTTAAACAGGATATGATTTCTTGATCTTAAAGTTCTTTAGAGCATAAAAATATAATATTGGGAATTTTTATAATAGCTTCTCAATGCATCCCCTGTGCCTATCTCAGAAATAGAAATCTGTAAAAATTGCTGCAATCTATCTAGGAACTTACCTTCCAAATAATGATTTCTTCTTCATGCTGTATCTGTGAAAAGATGTCATCAGTGGAGAACCATTGGAGGTTTTTGATAAACTGTGGTCACTCATTTTCAATATATTATTAATCAATTCCTTCATAAAATTTGGGGTTTTGGGGTTTTGGGGTTTTGGGGTTTTGGGG